GAACCCAGGAGGTTGGGGTGGTGCTGGGCAGAGGTGAGGGCCCTGGGAACAGGGCAGGCTCCACGGTGAGCCACATCCCTAAAGGATACTGGCGACAGGCTTGGGCACCCAGAACCATAAGAGCCAATTCTGAAGTGGGGACAGAGGTGGAACAGGATGTGACAGATGAGGCCAAGGGGCTGGAACTGTCCCATGAGCCTAGTGCTGGCCACATGGCAGCTGGGTCTGGGTACAGCAGGACAAAGGGCCACAGCCAGCCAGCTGCCCAGCACAGCAGGGGACAAAGGAGAGTAGAGGGACACCTGGGCTAGAGTTAGAGGCCTGCTTATGGGGCCTACGGACTGCAAAGGGGAGGCCACGGCAGTACCAGGACCCTTGGAGGGAAGAGGCCTCCCAGAAAGAAGCCAAATCCCTGGTGACAGTTGTGAGGTGGGGACACCAGGCACGAAGGCTGGGAGAGGGGGGTTCAGCACATTGTCTCTGGCTGTGGGGAGATGAGGTGGTCAGAGGGACCTGGTGGGGACAGGATGCAGGCCCTGGCACTGGTACAACTGTGAGAGGTATGTGACAATGCGGGGACAACCTGGGCAAGCGGGCTTAAGGGGAGAAAGGAAAGGAGGCACCTGAGAGATGCGAGGCACGGATGTCCAAGGGGACTGCTGGAGGGGTAAGGCCACACCTGGTATTCCAGGAACCATGGCAGCCAGCTGAGGCCCCAGGAGGCGCATAGGTGTTGGGAGGGGTGACAGCCGGGTTTGGACACTCTAGGTCTGAGGTCCCTATTGGATAGCCAGAAGCGGAAGCCAGCAGGTCTGCAGTAAAGGGACACAGACAGACACTCGAGACCCTCTAGGCCCCGCCAGACTCTGGCACCCATACCTGGGCTGCTGACCTGGTCCCCACAGGAGGGAAGCTGAGGCTGGGGGTCGCTCGCGCTGAATCCCAGGTCCCAAGGGCACACACTGACTCGGGGCTCAGCCTGCTCTATATGGCCGTGCTCTGCCTCAGCTTCATCAGGGGCAGTGCAGGAGCTGGGCCTGGCCGCTGTCCTGGACCTATGTGCATGCGAACAAGTGCAGACCCTCCAGTACACACGCGCCAGCCTGAGCCCACCCTCTCCCCATGGAAAGTCCAGCAGCAGAAAAGGCCTTCAAAGATGCCGCCTGCCACACAGGTCTGGCAGGGAAGCAGGGTGCTCCAGCAGCGCTGCCATCAGCTGGGGCGGCCACCCCATCCTTAGCCTCTGCCTGCTCATTCTGTCCCCGGCTTGGGCCCAGGCAGGGGCAGGGACAGCTGCGCTGATTTCTGTTATTTTCAAGAGTCGTAGCAGCCACAAGAAAGGGGGTCCCACAGCAGAGATGTGGAAGCAGATGAGAGCAGACCGAGAGTGATGACAGCACAGAACTGCCGGGGCCTGCAGCAGGCGCACCCGTATCTCTCTGTCTCCTGTCCCTTCAGTGCCCCAGCCCCGGGTGGTCCCTGTAGGGCAAGACCCAGCTCTGCAGGGCCCAGCCTGACTCCAGCGAGCCGCGCAGGACGCAAGGAATCCTGGGCCACTTCCCTCCCTTCCTGCTGGGCCCACCCATCCCTGCATCCTGGAACCCTGGCTTAAATTCAGGCCTAGCTAACATGAGCATGGAGTCTGCATGACCCAGACCCTAGTTAACCCCAAGGGAGGCTGAGCTGGGCCTCTCACCCCCAGAAGAGAGGCTCTTGGTAACCTGGGCAGGGAGACAGGACAAGCTGGAGCAGAGCCAAGAGGTGGAAAATGACTAAGTCCTGGTGCCAGCCGGTGCTCCTGATCCAGCTATACCTGAAGTCAACAGTAGGTCTGGGCTTTTATGACATATGTATCTTGAACCACTAAATTGTTTCCTGTTGTTTCTTTTCTTCCTCCTCTTTTTCTTTCTTCTTTCTTGAACTTCCCTCCTTTTTTATTCTTTCTTTACTTGTAAGCCTGTCTGAGTTGGGTTTTTATCCTTGGCAGCCCAACGCACACTGCTAATATTGGTAGCCTGGGCCGGGAAACTGTGCCAAGGGCACAGTGTGAGACCTGTGTGATCTTTTCTCCCTGTTCCCAGCTTCATTGCCTGAGGACCAGGCCTGCCTTGCGCCCAGCCCTGCAGGCCCCACCCATGAGACACCCTGTCATCTCTAGGTCCCCAACACGCACCCCCCACAGCCTGAATGCAAAGGACAGTGTGTCACACACCTCTGCCCCCAGGAAAAGCCCCACTCAACACCCTTCCCACTCCCAAAGAAAGAAGGAAAGAAGAGCAGAGACAGGAGAAACTTCTAGATAGGCGCCTGGGGTTTTATTCAAAAGAACACTGGCCGTGCTGCCTCTTGGTTTCTTGTGCCCGGGCCATCTGAGCCAGCGGGGACCGGGGACCGGCGCCATCAGCAGCTAGGAGGGGAGTTCATCACGCCATAGAAACTGTACAGCCACGGGGAGTGCTACAGTCGCAGCGCGGCGGCGGGGCCAGCGAGGGCTTCCTGGATGAGGTGGTCTCTGCCTCCTCCCAGCTCAGCCCCAGCTCTGCCAGGAACACGGATTATTGCACAAAGACAAAAAGAGTATGTGTGTCTGGGCTAAAGAGTGGCTTCTAGGACCCCAAGCCCTTCCACAGCGCAGCAAAGGGGGCTGAAGGTGGCCCTGGACACAGAGGGCTAAAGGGAAGGGGGACAGAAGGATAGCCGGCCAGGGCAGGCCACCACCTGCGTGGTCTTGAGTCCCTCTCCATGGATGCCAAGTGCTCACCAGCTTCCACTCCACACAACCGTGCAAACACGACCCTTAGGGCCCTGGCACCTGGGTCTCCCTTCTCCCCATGGCCAGGCCCATGCGGATGAGGGTGAGTTTGTGCTTTTTGATGGATACGCACGGCCCAGGCCACAGGCTTGGGGAGGGTGGAGGAGCCGCTCGCCCTACCCTTAACCACTTTGGCTTGACACCCTCAGGAACAAGGCCAAATGTCTGGCATGAGCATTTGGGGCCCTCCAGGAACCGGCTGCCAGGCTCAGCCTCTCTGCCTCGGCCATCTGCCCTGCTCTGTCCGGCCGCCTTTGCCTGGAATATGCTCCCCAGTGGCCTGCTTGCTCTGGGGCCACCTGGTCTGTGTAAAGGGACTGCTTTGTGTCAGACATGCCTGGGAGTCGAACACCCTGCCAGCCACCCAGCACCTGGTGACATCAGAAAAGGCTGCCGGGAGCAGCAAGGTCACCCCGCAGATTAGAGACGGCAGAGGACAGAGCTCTGGGGCTCTGGGGCCCCTCTAGCCCTGGCGCTGAGCTGGCCAAATCCATGCTGGGCTCCCTGCACCACCCCTACTTTATGCATGGGCTTTTCTGCAGTCTGTGGGCACCCTGGCTTCCTTGCGGCCAAGGCCCTGTGGGGTCCCGGTTGCTGTTTCATCTCCCTGGGCCCCAATTTCCTCCAACATAAAATGTCCTCGCTACCTCGGCTCTGAGGACAAGGGCTCTGGACCAAAGATGCTCATGTCATCTGCCTTCTCCTCCCTTCACCATAGTGCCCAGGCCCCAGGATGCCAGCCGGAAGAAGCCCAGAGCCTGTCCAAACAGCACCCCACTCACCAGCCTGGCTGGAGGCCAAGTTGTGTGAAGCCAGGCTCAGAAGCAGGGACAAGACCACTTGGCCAGACCCAGTGAAAGTCACCAGACAGCTCAGCAAAGGCAAAGGCCCCAAGATTGCCAAGAGGCCAAATGTCTCCAACAGGCTGCGTTTCTGCCCCAACAATGCACCACATCTAGCAACACCTCCCTGATCTTCTTTAAACTGATTTTAAATCCACATACTGCTTAGAAATCAGCCTTGACCTAAGCAATATGCCTGTGAAATCACAGCTTCCCTGTATTATACTTTTTCTAATAAATACTGAACTAAATGCATCATAGTATTCAAATAAAAAACACCCGTCTGGAACCTGTTTGGGAAGCACTACTGCAGGGAAACCCGACCTGCTGCTAAGGAAGGTGCGGTAGAGACCCAGGGACAGGTGGGGGAGGCAGAGGACATGGGTCTCCAGGTGACAGGGCTGCAGGGCGCAGGAGCTGGGCTGGGCAGAGGCCGCTGGGGTCTTGGCAGATGCCTACTTCTGCTAATCCTGTCGGATCCGCTGTCCCTGCACTCAGACGGGCCACAAGCAGGGCTGCTCAAGCAGGGCAAACACACCCACCAGGGGCTCACCTTGGGGGGGACCTCCAGAATGTTCATTGGGGTCAGACCCTGTGCCAGAACCCCCACCCAGCCTGGGATCTGCCGACTACCCCACCCCTGTGCTAAGAAATACAACTACTCACCCCTGATTTTTCTAAAGAAAACATCTAACCAGTGACTAAGAGAAAGTGTGCTCAGGGGTGTCTACAAGAGACTGCACAACAACGAGACGGTCAGAGGGACAAGACAGACACCCCAACACATAAGTGGTGGTAGGGGGATCTTAGCAGCGTGTCTTCTTTACAGGGGGGGAAAGCGCACCCTGAATTGCACCTCTTCACCTGGGCCTGTACCCTGGCCATGGCCCCGATATCCTCTCCAGTGACCCCTGACCCAGGGAGACACACCCACGCTCTGGTGCTGATGCCCAGGCGGGACCCTCCTCCCTGGGTGAGCCTGGGTTCCCAGCAGCAGAGAAGGCCCCTAGCCAAACCCTGGCCACACCCTCAACGTTAGCACTTTCTGGAAGTCATAAGCTCTCAGTAAAAAAAATAAATATATATGTCTGTCTCTCTCTATATATCTGCATATATATATGCATATGCACTGGGAGGGCCACACTGGGCATGGCAGGGGTCACGTCTGAGCCTGGCAAACCCAGACTTCCTCCCTCTTGCCCGCTTCGCAGCCCAGCAGCTGGCTGTCCCCACGCCTTTCCCAGGTGTGGACAAAGTATTGCTGTCTGCTCCCTGGCTCCTGAGGTAAAAGAAGATAAAACGGGGCAGGCGGGCGCGGTGGGCGTCCGGCGGGCCCCTGCGGCCCCTCATCTCTTCCTCTTGCTTGCAGCATCTCCTGACTCCAGATCCCCGGGGGGCGGCTGTGGCTCTGGTCCCGAGGGACCCAAGCCCGAGGACAACCGGGCCTGGCCCGGTGGGTCCTTGCTGCGGTCTGTGGCCCATGAGGGGCTCCGGACCAGGCCACGGGGCTGGGCGGTGGCGGCAGCTGCCACTCGGGAACGGCCGGGGACAGCACCCAGACTGCTGGTGCTGCTGAACCTCCGGGCGGGCATGAGGCCGGGTGGTGGCGGCACAGGCGGTGGGCAGAAGAGGGAGGTGAGCGACAGGCTGCTGAGGGTCTCAGAGTGCTCGCTGCCTGTGCCCCCACAACCCACGCCCCCGCGGCCCTCCTCATCCGAGGGGTCCATGGAGTCGTGGTGGGTGCAGCCCGGGCTGGTGGAGCCCCCGCTGCTGTGGCTGCGCTGGTGTGCGCGGAGCCCGCGCAGACTGAACAGGCCGCGGCCCCGCAGGCTGAGGCGGCGGTGGGAGGCCGGTGACAAGCCTGCACGGGGCCCTGGTACAGGTGCCGGTGGGCCCAAGGCACGCCGGGGACTGTCGCTCAGGGTCAAGCTGTCCTCCAGTGTGGTCTGCAGGCTGCCCGCTGAGCTGCTGGGGCTGGCATCCAGCGATGTGTCACTCACGGTGGCCTGCAGGCAGGTAGGAGGGGTGGGGCCGCCTGTATCCCCCGAGTCCATCCCAGTGATAGGGAGGTCACCTCTCCCAGCTGGGGCATCCAGTCCCAGGGGAATCTTGCAGCTCGTGTCCAGGATCCCAAGGCATCCCCTCTGCTGTGTGAGAGTCAGTCACACTGCACCCAGTCACCCCACTGCTCTGGCAGGGGACAGCCAGAGCCACCCTTGTTGGCCCAAGTCAGGGCCCAGCCCCGCCCTTCCTGGAGGCCTCAGTGCACTCTTGGCAAAGGCCTGGGTCCTCGCAGCCCCCAGCTAGCGCCCCCAGCTCAGTCCCACTCTCCCCTCCCTGTCCCGCTGGGCTGTTCTGCCCCACACCACTGCTCTGCAGACTGTACCTCTGGGGCATTTGCTTATTCTCTCCCCTCAGACAACACTCAACCATCAGGCCCAGGAGGAAGGAACTTTGTGTCCCTCACACCCTGGCATATGGTAGGGAAGCTAAACATGTCTGAGTGAATAAAGGGGCACAGCTCTACCTCGACCACCCACGGGGGCTGGGCCCCAGGGCCTCTTTTGCACAGGACCCTGTTCTAGGGAGCTGTGGTCCCAGCCAATTAGCTACAGAGACCTGCAGCTGAGACCTCCTGTCCCCAAAGCTGGCCCTCTGACCCCACTCCTGATAATCTAGCCATGTCACACCCACCCTGAGCACCCCAGATGTCCCCCATTCCCTAGCACACATCACCCTGCAAAGACTTTCTGGCATCCCTTGCCCCTCCCGCAAAGCTAGGGCCCCCTGATACCCCAGGAGCTGATCCTACCCATCTTCCCAGCCCCTGGTTCCATGTGCTCCCTTAGACTTGGCATCCCCCAACTTTCCCCAAATGTTCCCTGCGCAGCTGTGTGCTGCTCCTCCTCCTCCCCCAACCCCGGGCTCTACTGGCTCAGATGCCCCAGCAGGGAGCTCCCCAGAGCCCAGGAGATGCCCCTACCTGCCGGAGGAGGGTGCAGTTCACACTCGGTGACCGCAGGGAGGCCCAGGATCCCTGCAGGGCAATCTTGGGGAGGGTCCCTGCACCGGCACCTCTCTCCTGCCCTTTCTGGCTGGCAGACACAGCAGGGTGGAAGAACTCGGCAGGCATGGGCAGGAGTGGGCTGGAGGCATCTGGGGAGAAGGGGCTCGGGGGCACTGCAGGGGAGGGAGGAGACAGAGCTGTGTGGTGGCCCAGGCTGGCAGCATCTTACAGGCAGGGCATTGAGCAATGCTGTCCCTGGGCTTCCAGGGAGGGCTCTCTAACAAACTGGCCTTTGTCCTTGTCTCTGAGCCTCAGTTTCCCCATTGTGAGAGCAAGAGAGGTGTCAACCAGTGTGACTCCTCAGAGGACAAGCCCCCTGGATGGAGGCATAGCTTTTGGCACCAGAGAGACTAAGTCCAAGCCTGGGAATGGGGACAGTGCCCACCTTGAGGGCCAGGAAGCAGGTAAGAGGGAAAGGCCACTAGGCACTCCCAGCTGGGCTCATGCCAGCTGCCCAGTTACTAGGGTGAGTCCCCTATCAGGTCCCAGACCTGTCTGGCTAGGCAATGTGGACTCAAGTGCCACAAGGGGCTGTCCACTCTGCTGGAGATGGAGGGGCAAGACAGGCTGGGGACCCAAGAGGGAGGCAGGACCAGCAGCACAGCCTTTGCCCAGGATCCCCTAGCACCCAGGACTAGGGGATGTGTGGACAGTACCCAGACAGAGGGACAGCCTGACTGACCCTAAATGCAAGTCAATTTCAGGGTGTGGAATCAGAATAGGGTCCGACTCTCGGGTCAGACTTTGGCTTCAGGAAGTCTGGGACCTCGGTGCCAGCAGTCAGCTGTAGGGTGGGGGCCTTGGGGTGGGTTCATGCTCCTCTTCTCTGCCCCCTCCCTGGCCACTGCTATGAAACCGTATTCCTGTAGCTCGAGAGACAGGGCCACCTCTGTCCCTGCTCCTGTGCCCACAGCCTCACCACAAGTCCAAAGCACAAACTACCCCCAACAGATGCCAGGGCTAGTTCCAAAAGATAAAGGCCACATTTCACAAAAGGGTTATCAAAGCCTTCAGGCTTTCTGCTGCTCAACATCACCTTTTGTGAAGATCTAGGGATAAACTCTTCTCAAATTCAGCTCTACAAAACCACCTCCAAGATCTGTGAGCTATCCTGCTTCACAGTGAGATTCATGTGTGCAGCCTGATTCCCTTTTTGCTGCAGCTCCTGGGAGGCTCCGCATGAAGGGTGCCCTTAGCTCAGGCTTGTTGTAATTAATATCGTCTCATCTTGCCGCATTATTTGTCTCTTGATTTTTTAACACTGTCACATCAGCCCTATTGCCAGATACCCACCTGGTTCTTACAGAATTAAATGCAGTAATACCTGGGCAAAAGCACCAGGGAAAAACTCAACTTCCTCTGAAGCGGATGCCCAAGATGCAGTGTGTGAAATCCTGCTGCTCACCTTGGCCGCTCTCGTGTTTCAGCCAGGACCGCACAGGATTGAAGGGCACGGCCTCCATCTCGCACAGGAAGCTCTCTGCTCCCGAGGAGATGGCCGCATTGGGCAGCGGGGAGAAGCATTCACCCAGGTCCCCCACCTGCATGGGCTCGGTGAGGTCTGGTTCCCCCTGTGGGAAGGGAGACAGATGGGACGGGAAGACAGAGGGAGGCAGAGGCCGGCCGGACACTGCCCTTGAGGCCCCTCCTCCGGTCCACCCCCAACCTGGTTGATGACCGCCATCTGCCAAGCTGCAGGAAGCCCTCACAGATGCCCAGGGCTGTCCATGGCCCTGCTGACTGAGATCCACCTCACTCTAATCCAGAGTTTGTACAGACCCTGGCCCAGAGCAGCAGCCACATGGGGGAGGGGAGGGATCAGAAGACGGAGAGGCCACCAGCGCCTCTACCAGCATGGCCTTGGGTGGGTTCCAACCCTTTGCTGAGTTTCTACACCCACAAATAGAAACCCTCTATTTATTTGTGGGCTACGGCCTTGGAAATGAAGCATCCTGCCCTGACCTTCCTTCCTGGGCATTCCCAGCCCCATAACGCAAGGTGACCCCTACCCAACAAGGACCAGAGTTACCTCAGTGCCCCCCACAGGGTGGACAGACCTGACCCTCTGGTCCTTATGTCTTGCTGAGTCCGGCACACAGAATGGCCTCAATTAACCAGACTAGGCCCAGTCGAAGTGCCACCAGAGCACCAAGGCTGCACCCTGGAGTGCTGCACAAGATAGCAGTGTGAGGAGCCCGCCAGGGCCGCTCACCTTGTTGTCTTTGGGGCCAGGTGGGCAGGCTGTGGGATCCTCGAGACTCAGGTCATCACCCAGCAGGATGGACGAGGACCTGTCTGAGTTCAGGGAGAAGGCCTCCGTCTCTGCCAGCTGCACCTGCAGGGAGAGGCGTCACCTCGGATCACCCTGGGGCTGGGCCAGGGCAGCCTGGGCCTCACGGCGCGATGCCAGCCCCTCCTGGGCCACCCATACCTCCTGCTTGTCATGGTGGCACTTCTTGCAGCCGGTGGGCGAGGGTGAGGCATAGTGGTGGAAGATGGAGCCCGACAGATTGTCGATGATGGTCAGCTCCCCCTCCAAGGAGTCCTTGATGATTAAAGAGACGCTGTCCAGCCACAGGGTCTCCTAGGCGGACGGGGACGAGGTGGGGACAGCTGGCATTATCGGCCGGATCCTGGGACTTGGGGGTATGCAGGGCACAGCTGCCCTCCCGTTCTCTGTGCCCGTGGCCTGGGACTGACCCCCTCGTCACAGGGTCACCCCTTCTTGGAGCTGAGCATAGAAGGACCCCCCAAAACAGAGGTCTCTGTCTGAGGCCTTGCCAGCCCGCTGCCCTTGCAGCCTGGCTGCGCCCGACCCCTGGAGACCCTCAGGCCCTCTCCGGCCCCACCCACCTGGGCTGGGGAGTGGCAGCGCAGGCACCTGCGGCCCTCGTTATCGCCCCCGCTGCCTGGCCCTCCTGGGCCTTGGCCAGGAACACCTGGAGAGGCCACAGGCAGCCTTGGGCTGGGGCCCAGGCCGTGGGCCATCTCGAGCTCGAGCTCGGCGTCCATCTCGGCGTCCTCCTGGGCCTCCTTGTTGCTGTCGTCCAGGTGCTTCATGAGCACGGCCACCACCACATTGATGAGCACGAACTGGGCGGTGAGCACAAAGCTGACGAAGTACAGGGGCGACACGAACTGCAGGCTGCTCAGGCAGCTGCGCTCGTCATGGGTGCAGTCCCGCAGCGTGTCCTGTGCCGCAGGGAGGGGCCCATGAGCACCAAGGAGGCCCGGCCAGGATTCAAAGCCCCAGGAGGGTTCCAACCGCCCCATGCCCTCCTCTGGCATGTGGTGGCACTGCCTTCTTGGCTTCAGCCCAGGCCCCAGTGGCTCCGCCCAGCTTCACCCCACCGCAGCTGGCCTCACCCTGCCCAGGGCCATAGCCAGGCCCAAACAGAGTTTCTGGTTTCTAGGGTGGCAGGGAACAAAGGGAGCAGAAAATGTTTGAGCCTGGGCACCAAGTAGACTAAAGTCCCGCAGGCCTGCAAGAGACATTACCCCCAGACCACCCAGGGCAGCAATGGGCTCACTGGACCAAGGGGTCCCAGGCAGGGCCCCGTGCTCCTCTGTGGCCCGCACTCCCCTCCTGTGCAGCAGGGCGTACCCCAGGTATAACGAGCAAGGTTAACCCCCACACTGGACTCAGAAGCCACCTCACGTCCCTGTCCCCAGCCTACTACAGGTACCTTCATGATCCCATTCCAGTTGTCGCCTGTGGAGACCTGGAAGAGTGTGAGGAAGGCCATGCCAAAGTTCTCGAAGGTGGCGTGCCGGCTCATGCCCTCGCAGGGGTTCTCGTCATTGCAGACTGAAGGAGGAGACAGGTCAGCCTCCCTGTTTCCCAGAGCCCCCCGAGGGCCACCCCTCAATGCATGCCCCAAGAATCCCTCCAGCAACCTTCAGAGGGGTGCGCCGGCAGCCCACCCACTGACGGAGAAACAGGTTTTGGGAGATGGCAGCCGGGGCTCCTTCAACTAAAAATCAGTTCTAAGAGAGAGGATGGGGTGAGGCCACCCTTCAGGGCACCCAATGCCCTCAACTGACCCTGTGCTGGGCCAAGGTTAGCATAAGCCCTGTTGCCCTCTGACCTGACCTGGCTTTTTCTCTGTTTTGGTCCTAGGGATTGAATCCAAGCCCTTCACTCTGAGCCACCTTCCTCTCCCTTTCTCATTTTCTATTCTGAGACAGTCTCAATAAGTCTAGATGGGCTTGAACTTGCAGTCCTCCTGCCTCAGCCTCCCAGAGTGCTGGGATTACAGGCATGCACCACTACACCTGGCTTGCCTTGGCCTTTCTGCTTGTAGGGCAGCGCTGGCTCAGAAAGGACACTGGCCCAGGGGACAGCAAAAGTGGGTTCTGGTGAGCCGAGACCACTTGAGTCCACTGCCCCTACACTAGGCTGTGATGGCCAAGGCCACCTGCACAGGCACCCTGCCCCGGAGGCTCCTCCCCCAGACAGCGGCCCAGTGTGACAGGATGGGATGCGGCGACCCTCAGGCCTCCTGTGCTGCTACTCACTCAGCTTTCCAAAGAGCTCCACGCCCAGCGCAGCATAGATGAAGAAGAGCAGCATGAAGAGGAGGCCCAGGTTGCCCACCTGCGGGGAGAGGCAGGCTGGGCAGGGGCCTGGGGCCAGGGCGGGGTGGGGGCCAGGGCAGTGGCACCCACGGGCTCTGAGTCTGCCCCTGCCACCCCACGTGGCCTGCCTGCAGACAGGCAGGCTGGGCCAGTGTGAGCCACAGGACAGCAATGTGATGCTCACAGAACTATCCCGTGAGCCTCTCTGTTCCAAGCACTTCACAGTCACCAGCTCACAGACTCCCTGCAGTAATCTGGGAGCCATCTTTTATCCCTACTTCTCAGATGAAAGAAAAAAAAGCAGAGGTGAAGTCACCTACCCAGTCGCACACAGCCTAGCAGTGGTGGGACAAGGATGGAAACAGTGTGTGCACACCTCCCTATGTGCTTGGGAAAGTGCCATGGATGAGCAGGACAAGGGAGGCAGGGTGCGAAGGCTCAGCCCCAAGGCCACCTCCTGCGTGAGGCCCACCTGGATTCCTCCAAGCAGATCAAATGCACTCTGACAATGCAAGTGTAACCTGTGTGTCCCTGTCCCTGTCTTCTATTGGTCTGGGAGGTCCCAAGAGCAAAGGCACAGATGGATGAGGCCAGATCTGCCCCGCAGCCCAGCACAGGGCTTGGCCATGGACAGGAATCAGTGCAGGAATCACGCGGGTCTGGGCCTCCTGCAAATGCAGCCCCCCTCCGCATCCCGCACTGCCTGCGAGAGAAGACGCCCCAGATTCTGCACTTAGCTTAAACCCATCCACACACTGACGATGACACGGTGGCCACAGAAGCAACATGGCTTCCTATACCTTGTGCTGTGGACAAGGTGGGGCCACTGCGCACCTGCCCTGGAAACCAAATCCCTCCCAGGACCCCAGAGGGCCCAGCGGATGCAATCAGAAAGCAATCGCATTCAAGGCTGAAAAGTAAACTCGTTAATCACAGCCTCTGGGCTCCAGAGAAGGGATCCTCAGGGCCGCCCTGCCCTACACGTCAGGCTAATTAAATCTCACTCCATTCATTAACGAAATGAATGCTTCCTGGGCACCTCTGAGGCAAAGCCTACGGCCTGGCAATAGCCTGGCAGCTGAGAAGGATGGAGCATTGCTGGGCCGCAGAACTCAGCTTCCTGCCCAACACAGGCCCAGGACTGGCAGCAATCCTACCCAGGTCACTTCAGCCTTCCCACAGTCCCCTCCCCTTCCCGGGGCCTGGGCAGCCCCTCACGGCCTCCTTGCACAGCCTCTCCTCCATGCTGCCTGCCTCCTCTATGGCAGCTCTGGTTGAGGCCCCTCCTGCGGACCCTCCAGTGTCACCCAATGTCCACAGCTCAAAACCCAAAATCACTGCCCCATTCTGGCCTCCACGTCCCCTGCCGCCTGGTCTCCCTGCCCCACCCACAGGGCCATCCTACAGTGTTCCCAATGCAGGCAAGGCTCTGTCTTTGGCTAACCATTGCTGCCTCCTCCTTACCCCTCAAAGTCCAAATCACGTGCCACCTTCTCTGCGGAGCCCTCCCTGCTGCCCTTCCCTCTGCCCGGGGAAGAGTTCCATTCATTTTCACTGAACTTTATGGAGAACTGAGGAAGCATCCACGGTACACGGACAGCACAGCCGTCAGCCAATAGCTTCCAGAGGGCAACTATGTGGCTCAGGCCAGCTTGGCACTGGTCCAGAGAGACAAGACAGGATGCTTTGATCCCAGCTCTAGGCTCAACCCATTTCCTGTCTGCACACCCTTCCCGCCCATCACGGCCTCTGTCTCCTGTACATGAGGAAAACGGACATCTCTTTGAGAGAATGTCCTTGCTTTCCCTCCAGGTCTGACTTTCCCTTGTGATCAGGATGCTGGGACGCTCACACCGATCCTGAGGACAGAACTCACTGGTGCTCACTGGTACACTTATCCCAGGTCCCCGAGAGAATTAGCCCTGCTTTCACCTTCCCTGGGCTGTTGGTCTTTCTCTTCATGTTTAGTGTAAAGATTCTAAAGCTCATTTTAAGACACTGAAAGTTCCTTAAGGCTCCTTAGGGCCATAAGGAGGACATGAACAAGCTGAGGGCTCCCTTCAGAGTGCAGGCCATCCTGGGGTGGGGCAGGGGGTGCCTCGCATATTGGGGACAGGGCGGAGGTGCACTATGACGGCAGAATCACCAGCTCCTCTCCCACTGACCAGATGACATCAACAGCTCGGGGGTCCCCACAGGGCCAAAGTTCCCACTGCCCACCCCGAATGCTGTGTCAGGGCCTCTCCATCCACACCGCACCATCTCCTGCAACGCCACCCTGCCAGGTCATCTCAGGGAGCCCCTTACCTGGGGCAGTGCTTCATACCCTCCTCTCCCCAGCAGCATACTGTCGGCATCCACATCCCTACATCCTAGGGCCCCAAGGGCATCATACAGGTTATCTGTGTCCCCACAGGCTGGGCAAGTATGGGGGTAAGAGGAGTCTTGCTCAGCACCCCCAGGACCCAGCCCAGTGGCAGGGGCACACAGCAGGGCTTTGGCAAGGAGGGGCTCTTACCTGAGGCAAAGCCTGCACCACTGTGTCCAGCAGTGCCCGCATCCCCGTGGCCATCTTCAACAGCTTCAGCACTGCGGGTGACACCAACCGGGCAGCTCAGCCCAGGCTAGGGACACCTGCGTGCATGCAGGTGTATGTGCAGGTGTGTGAATGCAGAGGAGGCAGGGGATGTGGAGGACTGTGTGAGCAGGGGCTGCCCCAGGTGCCTCACACTGAGAACGCAGGTGCCACGACAGAGGGCAGGAGGTTGGAGCTCAAGATATGGACGTTGGTGTAAAATCATCCCAGAGAACAAAGGCGTGTACATGTGTGTGGAAGGAATACAGGTGTGCTACATGTGCAATGAACTGTCATGATGCAGAGATGACCAGTGTGAGTGTCCAGGCCTCGTCCCTTTCCTTCTGGCTAACTGGGACTCTGGTGTCACCCGCTGGGCACTGGGCACCATCCCCAAGCATGCCGTGGTAACAGGCAGGAAGCTGAACGCCAAGGGGACATGGCCAGCACTGGGGCAGGAGGGCCTTGAGAAGAGTGTGGGAGCCACAGCGCAAGAGGGAGAAGTGAGGGGGCCCTGAAGCAGGCCAAGGACCCTGTGTCCTTGTCACATCTTCCGGCTGGACTGGGTGAGAACAGACCACGTATGGTGGCGTGATCAGGAGGCACAGTGTGTCACAACAGGAAGAAGGGAGGTGGCAGTGTGGTGAGGCTGTGAACCCACAGGCGGAGGCAGTCCCCACCCCATCCTGGCTGCTCTTCTCAGGACAGCAAGCCCCACCCTACATCTGCCCAGCCCCGCCCCTCACCCCTCACCCCGGGCGATGCGCAGGACCCGCATGATGCGAATGATGGTGGGGTTGATGGGCAGAGCCGCGTTGATCTCGATCTCTTCCAGTGTGATGCCCATGACAGACAGCAGCACAATGGCCAAGTCCAGCTGGTTCCACCTGCTCAGCCGGGCAGAGGAGCGCAGGGGGACTCAGGGACACAGCTTGCTGGAAGTAGCCTCCCCTTTCCTCAGCCTCTGGTTGTGGCCCACTGGACCCTGTGGCCACCTCCCTGCAGCCCCTCCAGATGCCTCTGGTCCTGCTCCCTTTTCACAGCTCACAGCTGCCCAAGCCAGGGTGGGCGCAGCTACATCAACCCCTCTGGCTTCCCACAGGGGGGGATGCAAGGGCTCTGACTGATGCAGCAAGGTAGTCCTTGGGGTCACTTAAGTCTAAAGCTGGAGCTGCCTGTCCCCTCTGATGAGTTTGTGCTAGTACAGTGGTAGTGTGCAAGGGTCACTGGAGCCTGATGTGCTTGTTCTAAAAAGGAGAATTAGCATAAGGCAGACCTGCTCTGCCTGCCGAGCTACAGGGCCTAAGAAGGGCCTAGTGTTTGTCCTGTGCCTGCAGCCTGAAACCTCATCACTCCCTGCTCAGAGCAACTGGTGGCAACTGGGAGCCCCGGTCATCAATGCCCAGGGTCCCGTCCTTCCTGGGCATTCCTCTGAGCACCCCAGATCTCTCCAGGACTGACTCCCCACTCTGCCACCCTAGTGTGGCCCAGCCACTCACCGGTCCTTGAAGAACCTTCGCAGGCCAAAGGCCACGAGCTTCAGCACCGCCTCCAGCACAAAGACAGTAGTGAACATGTAGTTGCAGTACTTGAGGGCTGTCTCCAGGGACTACGGGGAGCAAAGAGAAGCATAATCCAGGCCCCGTGACCTGCCCCCACAACTTTCTCCCTATGGAAAGTCTCTGTCTTTTAAGGGCAAAGTGTAGTCCATTCACATTTATAGTACAATGACTTATCTGTTTGTATTCCTTCACTCTTACTTAATGTGTATTATTCAATTTATATGGTTCCTTTTATTTATTTGTTGGTTTGGTCTAGTTGTTCTCTGGAGCAGAATGGGGTAGTGGTTAAGGACTTTACACTAGCCTGCCTGGATTTGGATCCTGGCTTCGCATTTACTCCTGATTCTCCATGTGATGTTGGGCAAGTGATTGGTCCATCTCTCACCACTCAGTTTCTTTGTCTGTTTTGTTTGAGACAGGGTCTCACTCTGTAGACCAGGCTGGCCTTGAACTCTCAGTGAGCCTCCTGGCTCAGCCTCACAAGTGCTGGGATTACAGGCCTGTGCCACCATATCCAGCAGCACTTTCCTAATCTACAAATGGTAGAAAATAACAGCACCCACCTCCAAAGTTGCGGTGGAAATTAAATGAGCTCATAGTCCTGTGCTGGGCATACAGTAAACAATTGGTAAATTGTGAGCAATAATTACCCCATGTCTGGGAAGTTCTCCAATTATCGTTCCTTTCTCCCTATGGGTCCTTTCTTTTCCCTCCATTCAGAATATCTTCTCTATCATTTGAAACAAGATACTCTTTCCTCACCTGGAAGTTCTGCTCTCCCCTTGTTTCCTATCAACCCCATCAAGTGGAGGCTCTGAGAATGCACTGCCCTTCTTAGATCCTCCAGCGCCTCATCCATGATTCTAGGACCTGCTCTCCTCCTCCTCCTCCGCCTTCCCTCTTCCTCCTCTCTCCTCCCCCTCCCCTTCTCCTCCTCCTTCCCCTATTCCTCCCTCTCCTCCCCCTCCCCCACCTTCTCTTCCTCCCTCCCCCCTCTCATCCCCTCCTCCAGAGACTGTTGTAGCGGCCCTGCCTGGGCTTCACAGAACTTTTCTGGAGCAAATCCAAGTTGTACTTCTGGCTCCACTCCCTACAGCTGAGGAACTGAACCTCTCTGAGCCTGTTTCTTCACCTACAAAATCTAGACAGGGTCTCTCTGATTTTACAGGTAAAGACTTACGAGTTCATGTACACAGCTCAGCATTTATCACTTAGTCACAGCCACTGTGACTCATGATGTAGGCCGGTCCCCATATCACCTCACCACCAGGAACCAGTGAGCTTCCCTCCGACCTTAGAGCAGGGCTATCCAAGCCTCCTCCCCTGGAGCAGGAGGCTGGGCACAGAGGGGTTTCGTAGGCCTTGTTTTCAGTTGACCTACCCTCTGTCCTAGCCTGTCTCTGAGGTCCCTGGTCTCATACTCATGGGGTGACCTTGGGCTCACAGGCAACCTGGGCTCACCGTGGGCTGGTTATAGTGCTCCAGGGACATGGTGACCACATTGAGGCAGATAATGAAGGTGATGAAGATGTCCAGGTAGTGGCTGGTGCACATGGAGTGGATGAGTAGCCGAGTGGGGCAGTAGGTGGCATAGTAGGGCAGCCTCTGGGCTTCTGCAGGGAGACATAGGGAGGGGATGGCACAGATCACAGAGGGCTGTACCAAGGGGACGGGGCAGAGCACAAAGGAGGGAAAGGCAGAGTGGAAGGAGGAAGGAAGGGGGGGAACACAAGGTCCCCCAGCCCCAGGTCTGCTAGGTCTCCTCCGACCTTAGAGCAGGGCTATCCTAAGCCTCCTCCCACCCAGGGCACCCTAAGGGAAACAGGAAGATTCGCAAGGGTGGCAAAAAGGACAGGGCCCAGGTTCTCTGCCAACACTGCCTCCAGCACCCGGACTCTGCCTCTGCCCAAGGTCCGGACTGAAGCATTTGGGGGCCTCACTCAGGTGGGCAGTGGCCTCACCCCAGGACCCTAGGTTAACATTGGGGACACTGCACAGGCAGTCACTGGGGGAGAAGGCCCACCCACAGGCTCAGGGGCCATGTGCTTTGCTCCCTCCCAGCTCCAAAGCTGCAGAAGGCCCCAGGCAGGGGGGCCTGGGGTCAGCGTGGCCCCACCCCGTGGCCACCCACTCACTGCGGCGCTTCTTCTCCAGACGCCGCAGCCGCTTCTCCTCACGTCGCCGTGCCTCCTCAGCCTCCTGGTGCTGCCGGCACTTGTGGAAGTTCTCCACCACCACGCCCACGAACATGTTGAGCACGAAGAAGCTCACAATGAGCAGGAAGGAGATGAAGTACAGCAGCATCCAGGGGTTGTGGTTAGTCACGGGCTGCAGGGAGCCAGACCAGGCCTGAGGGGGCTGACTGGGCACCACAGGATCAACCCTGCTGGGGTGGGCACCACCAGAGCCTGCTTCCAGAGTGATGGTGAGGTTCAGTGAGGTAGCCAATGGGAAGCACCCACTCTGGACCTGAACAAGTGAAGTGCCTAGCAAAGAGCTTTCCTTCCCTATTCTAACAGCTGCCTCCCAGACACAGCTGTCTGCTTCCTGTCACTTACCTACCATTCACTCACCCATGCAAGCAAGCATCTCTCCACCCATCCACCCACCCCTCCAACCAGCATCTACCTACCCAACCACCCACCCAGCAACCCCTCCATCTAGTGTCTACCCATCCAACCACCCATCTATCCACCCATCCATCCATTCATCCATCCAGTATCTACCCACCCATCCATCTATTCATCCATCCACCCACCCAGGATCTACCTATCTACTACTCATCTACCACCCGTCCACCCACCTAGCCATCCATCCAGCCACCCAGTATCTAATTGTTCATCCATCTGCCCACTCACCCATCCACTGTCAATTTCCCTCCCATCCACCCACCCATCCATTTACAGATCAATCCAGCTAACCATGCAATGATTTGCCCCATCCATCCATCCATCCATCCATCCATCCATCCACCCATCCTTTCTTCCTCCAATCCTTCCTTCCTTCCATCAGTTTATTCATCCATTCAGAAACCAGGCAGTCAAGAGAGGGGCAAGCTAAGCCTGGTAGGATCTGTATGTGCCCATACACTGCCTGGGTTGGGATAGAGCAGATGAGGGTGGAGGAAGATGCCCCAAATGTTCTCATTCCCGCAACATCCCTACAACTTCCCTCCACCTCCAGAGTCTAACCAGGTGGGTCTCGGGAAGCCAACAGGCAGAAGCCACGTGTCTGGCCTGGGCCCAGACAAACTCCTGCTCCTACAAGGATCTTGGGAACTGAGGCCCAGGCCTCTGCTCAGGCACCGGAGGGTCCTCGCTGACCACCTGCACCCAGTCCCCTTCCCAAAGGCATCTCCAAGGCGCCCACAAGCAACCCAGCCAGCAGGGGGCACCGCTCTTGCTAGAAGCCTTTTCCTGGCTCTCTAAGCTCAAAATAAAATTCCTCCCCTAGTAGGCACTCTGGCCATGCTACCCTGGCTCCTCCAAACCATCCAGTCCTGCCTTCTCCATCCATGCCCTGCCATTCACCTCTCATTCTACACTGGCTTCCAGCCTGCTTAGCCCCTCTCCTCCACCCTTGGTCCTGTGCCTCCAGACTCCAGGCAAAGAGCACCCCCTTTCCTTCTCCCGCTCCAGCCGCTGCCTCCCAAATACATCTGACTCCTTCGTGTCATTCACCTACCAGCAGGAGCCAGCTGGGCTCCCACTCCCTGCGCAGCAGCCAGGGAAGGCTCAGGCCAGAATGTGAGGGGTGGCTGTGACTGATGGTGGGGAGACATAGGGCATGGACCTCAGGGGCCCTAGTTTCAGGCCACTGGATCCCAAAGACACTATGTCCCCCCTCCACTGCCCAGAGCTGGCCTGGCCCAGCCATGCCCACCTGCTGGTCCACAGCCACTGCGTCCAGCCCATTGTACATGATGTTCACCCAGCCGTCCTTGGAGGCCAGGACAAAGAGGGACATCAGAGCCTGGAAGACACAGAGGGGAGGGTGTGGGGCTGAGGGCCTGGGCCTGTATCCCCTCAGCTTTCCATTCTTCCACTTCCAGGAGACAGAGGGACAAAAAGCGTTATAAATTTGCCCTGGGACAAAGCTGCCTTGGGAAGGGATTCTTGGGAGGCACCTGAGTGAGAGCCAAGATTCTCAGGGGGCACTGCCCAAATGGGTCAAGCCTGACAGGTCCCCAGGAAGAGCACCCAGAACACAGTGGAAACCAGGCAGGGGCCCACCTTCCAACTGCAGTGGAAAACAGAAGGTAAATGATGAGAAAGAGAACCCAAGCCAGGCTTCAGACAGTTCCCACTGCCTGCCTGGTGACATTCCCATTTCACAGATGAGGAAACTGAGGCTCAAAGAGGTCATTCCTACAGGAAGATGATGCAGCTGCAATGCATGCCCACCTGTGGTTGACTCTAAACTGTCAGGATGCCTTGGGTGGGAGTGAAGGCCAAGACCAATGTTCAGTGAAGCTCTACAAAGTGCCGGGCTACCTATGCACACCAGAGCTCAGAGAGGGAAATGCTCCCCTTACCCATTTTTGCAAGGCAGGAAGAAACTCCAGAAAGGAGCTTGCTTTGCGAGCCATCAGCCCTGGGGGGCAGGGCAGGGTGGGTGGGCAGCACTCACCTGGCCCAGGTTGTCGAAGTTGTATTTGTGGTGGACCCAGCGGTAGTTGGCGGCCACACAGTCGGAGCGATTGGTGATGTTGCGGGTATCCACGCCCAGACAGTGGTAGAATTTGCCCTTGAAGAGCTAGGGGAAGAAGGCAAGGCTAGTGCTCCCAGGGGCTGGGAGCCCAATTCAGGATGATGCACCCCTCCGACACATGCACCCAGCCTCTCTCGGGCTTGGTCATCTGGGTCGAGGGCTGTCTCAGCCCCTCTGCTGAGAACCATAGCTGCTGTACCAGGTGCAGCTGAGCCTGGTGGGGACCAGAGCAGGTGAGGGTGGGGGAGAGAAGTGTGCAGCCTCTGCCCTGGCTGTGCTGGGCTTCCCTTGCCCAGCCACGGTGGGCCCCAGCCCCTGCACTGCCCGGGAGCCCCTCACCTGCACCCCCAGGATGCCAAAGATGATGAAGAAGGCACAGCAGATGAGAACGATGTTGCCGATGGGCTTGAGGGACGAGATGAGTGTCTCTACCACCAGCTTCAGGCCAGGGGCCCGGCTGATGACTCTGGGGACAAGGAGGACCCAGGGGGCACTGTAAGCCTGTGAGTGGCCAAGGCTGAGGCCCCAAGGGGACAATGACAGCAGCAAAGGATGAAGAGAAAGTAGCTGGGCAACCCAGGCTTGGCAGAACAGGTGGTGAGCTGCCAGCTGGCCCATACTGATTCACAGGAGGGTACTAAATAGCCCTTCCCCTCCAGAGGTCCACGACACACCAGGGCTGCAGGGTAGGGACCCACTCATTCAGAGGTGCGGAACAGTATTAGGGTCACCTTCATGCCTGCCCTGCCAGCATCCTTCACCCCACTTCCGGGTCTACCGGATCCTCTCCCAGGAGCGGGTATTAATTGTTCAGCAGGTGCTATTGGAGGCCTGAATGTGCCCCCAAGCAGGAGTGAGGAGCCCATATAGACCCTGACAATTCCGCAGCAACACCCTTCCCTCACCGCAGGGGGCGCAGCGTGCGCAGAAGCCGCAGAACCCGGAGGACTCCCAGGATCTTGGCTCCCCCGGCCGAGGCCACAGACACCACTATGTCAATGATGGACACGAAGACGAGGAAGCCGTCCAGCACGTTCCAGCTACTGCGCAGATACGCCTGCTCACCAAAGTACAGGCCCAGCGACACCACCTGGGGGCGGGGCTGGTCAGCGGGGAGAGGCGGGGCCATTGGGCTCCGCCCCTCGGTGGGCGGGGTGGAAAGGGGTGGGGCCAACTCAAGGGCATTTCCATCCTTTCCATCCAAGGCACGCGGCAGGGAGCAGGGTGGAGTCAGGGCCCAGGTATCCACCCCGTTAGCACGTCTAGCAAACCCCATCCAAAGCTGCCAAGTTGGGAACCTTGGAGAAGAAATCTTTTCCTGCACCCCACACCTCTAGCTGGTACCTGCGGAACACTGTCGTGTTACTCCCTACATCCACCTTCCGGGGGGGTGGGGGGACACCACAGACCCCCTCTGTGTCCCACAAGCCCAGCAGCAGTTGGCACCCAGTGGAGGTGGTGGTCCTCTGGGGCTTATAGAATGCTGCTGGTGGGCAGGACAGTGACAAGGGTGGGAGGCCCCGAGCTAGGAGTGATTGTTTCAGGTGAAGCCCAGAGAGACCTTCAGTGTCATCTCGCCCACGAAGATGGCTGTGAAGATGTAGTTGGACACAGTGAGGAAGATGCGTTCCTGAAAGAGATGGGAGATGCCGTGGACCCCAGGAAACTCACATCTCAGCCTGAGGGGGCCATCCAGGGAGGCTCCGTATCTCGGACCCAGACGGCCTTCTCCTCTCTGCCACTGCTTCCTCTGCCTGGCCCAATGTCCCACCCCAGGTCTCCGCACTCACGGTGCTGCCAGCCTCGATCTGGGGCCGCTCCAAGGCGATGGTGATACAGTTCAGGAAGATGAAGGCCAGGACCACATAGTCAAACAGTTTATGGGCAATGATGGTCTGACACAGGACCCGGAACCTGGGCAAGGGACACAGTTGCGTCAGATGCCTCCCACTTGGGCACATACAGGGTTCAGGAGGACCTAGAGGAAGTGATCCCTCTCTCCTCTTCCAACAGGTGCCAGCTTTACATCTGCGCCGCGTGCCCACTTCAAGCCTCCTCCCCTGTTCACACACCAATTCAGGTAAGGTCATCCACCTTACCCTGGCATTCAAGGCTTTCAAACACGGCCCAAATCAATGACCCCTGTCTTCAGTACCATTGTTAGATATCTACTCCCGCCCCAGACATCCTCTCAAACTGCTCCCTCCACCTGGATCTTCTCCTCCTCTCCCTGAACCTACTGGACTGCCATAGCCCAGCACAGAGGCCCCCTCTCATCCGCCTCCACAATGTGTAAGCACCCCAGGCCGCTTGACGACCCGTCTGACTTGGTGCTCAGCACAGCGCTGGCCTAGGCCACCGGAGATGCCCAGGAAAGGCCTGTCCAGCTGCCTCCCTGCAACCCGCCCTGCCCCCCAATGCCAGGGAATGTGAGTGCACTTTGGCAGAGCATGCTGCCTCCCCGACTTGCTAGCCCTCTATTCACCCACACTACAAGCCTGGGTTGCTCCCACCTGTTCTCTGGAGAGAAGAGGTAGACAGACCAGTCCTCGCGGACCTCACACCAGTCGGGCTTGTAGACATCGATCATCTTGCGGATGCGGAAACACAGAGTCTGGCAAGAGGAGAATCCAGTGCGGGAGGGTCAGCAAGCTGCGGCCACTGGATGACCCCACACCCTCGCCTTCAGTCAAGATAGACGGGAAGACCTTCTTTCCGGGGTCGGACTCGGTTCCACTTCAGGGTCATCAGGCCACAAGGCCTAGCGACGCCCATCGTAACCGCGACGCCAATCCCCGCCCACCACCGCGCCCCTACGGCCACGTCCCACTCGCCCACACGGTCCCGACTCCGCAGATCCCACTCACGTAGTCGATCTCTTCCTCGTCCTCCCCGCGGTCCCGGCGGTCATCCATCTTGGTGAAGACATCCTTGGCGATGTTGGGCATCCTGCCGTTGCAGTCTTCGTGGCCGGGCCCCGGGCCCGCCGCCCTCCAGGCAGCCCGCGGGTGGGTGCCCACGGTGGGCACCAGCTCGGCCAGATCCATCGAGTCCCTGGTGTCGAGGGACAGCGTGCGGCGGTGGCGGCGGTGGCGGTGCGCCAGGTGGGCCCCGTGGTGTACGTGGTGAGCGTGCGGAGCATGCAGGGGCGCGGGGCGCGGCGGCCCCTCCTCCCGGGCACCCTCACTGGCGCGGGCACCGCAACGCTCCGCGGAGAGCAGGGACTCGTGCTCCGCAGACGGTGGCTTGTGCTTGAGGCTGTTCCAGCTGGAGCGGCGGCTGGCCCAGGCCCCACTGCGGCCCCATGGACCGTAGTAGGAGCTCCGCGAGCTGGACTGCAGGAGGCCAGCTGGGTCAGCGACCCCGGGTCCTCCCCCTGGGCATGCCTTCCCTCCTGCCACCTCCCCTCCCTTGAGGAAGGCACAGCAAGTTAGGGCCATCTCCCTATTTTACAGGTAAGGAAATGGAGGTTCAGAGAAAAGCAGTCATTTGCTCAGGGTCACACAGCTCAGAGGTGACACAGACCAGATTCAAGCTCTAATGTCTGCCCCCGAGGCCTGTACCCTACACATTGTTGCTAACATGAGAACCCAGGTCTCTCTGCAACGTTCACTCATTCTTTCCTTTATGCAGGTCCTACTCTGGCACTGGGCACCAGGAAGGGGACAGACCAGATCCCTGCCTGGTTTGGGGCAGTCTGGTAAGGAAGGTGTCTCCCTTACCCCCAGAAGGGGCACCCATCCTGAGCAACCCACAGGACTCACCAAGGAGCGCTGATCGTAGCTCATCCTCCCCAGTGACATGACACTGCTCTTTCGGGAATCCAGGGCCACCAGCATGGGGTCTGGCTGCAGGGAGAGGCGGGCAGCAGGGTCTGCAGCCCCAGAGGGGCCCAGATGCCCACCCAGTGGGAGACTGGGGTCCAAGTGCCCATTGGGGGTCATGGGGATTGGGCAGAGCTTGAGATCTGGAGGAGTGAGGTGGAGACAGAGGGACAGACAGCAGATAGACAAACAGAACAAGAGGAAAGGAAGCCATGAGACAAAGAAACAGATGCAGACAGAACAGAAGCAAAGCTTTACTGGAGTGACTTCCGGGTGCACCTTTCTCAGGGGGCTCCTCCTCACTCTGCCTGCAGGGCTTTCTGCTTAGGCATATATAGACCCTGACCCCTGTGTTCAGTCCAGCCTGCCACTGCAGGCACCTCACTCCCATACCCTCCACAGGAAGCCAAGCAGAGACTGCCCGCCTGCACCTCCAAGAAGGACCCTGGGCTTGGAGCAAGAAAGGCTTGTCTTCAGCTGCCCAGTGATGCCAGGAAGGACGTGACCCTGGGCCCCATCCTAACCAATAGCGGTTCCCAACCCCTGGAAAGAGGAGCCGGTGGACCCATGCTCTGCCTGTGGCTGGCACACCGGAAGTCCATGAACACCCAGCCCTCCTCAAGACGTAGCATTTGCTCTCATTACAGACATGAACAACCAGCCACAGGGAATGAGCCAGCTTGGGCCAGACCTGGAGGGGAAAGCCGAGTGCTCTGCCCTATGCCCACATGGGTCTCTAGGGAAGGCTCCTGGACCGTGGGTGACAAGTGAAGGCCCATTTACCTCCACTGATGTCCAGGCCCTCTTGGAGTTTGTCCAGCTCTTCCAAGTTGGATGAGCTCTGGTCTTCGTCTGAGTAGGAGCGGTTGGCGTCACCCTGGGAGATGGGCCCATGTGGGGACACACATTAGCTCGGCACTTCCCACCTTTCCTCCTCCCCCTCCCCCGCCACCTGGAGTTTCCAATGGTGTTTCCATTCCCATTTTACAGATGGGGAAACTGAGACTCAGAAGTTAATGAGGACTTAGGCTATAAACCCCCATCTGCCTGATTGTAAAGAATCCCCCCCCAAGAGAATAGAGGAAGCAGCAGCCAGAAATCCTGATCTTAGGGGCTTCAGAATCTCAGGGATGGGGAAGTCTAGTCCTTCACCCCTTGGAGAAAGCTGGGGGTACCAGATGCAGCCTCTTTTTGCATGCTTTGTGTGATGAGAAGCTCACCACCTCATTGGCGCCCTCCTTTGGCCATGTGTTGCCTGCTAGATTGAACTGCCCCACAGCCAGGGCCCTTTCCTCCACCCTATGTCTTGTAGGCCCAGTGGGGACACCCCTCCCAGGGCTGCAGTCACCTCAGCCTGGAAGCCCTCCACCAGTATGGCCACCAGCAAGTTGAAGAGCACATAGTTGCCAAAGGTCATGAGGGCGACGAAGTACAGGGAGGCCCAGGGGGAGGTAGAGGCCATGCCATTGTAGAGGACGACGTTCCAGTCCTCCTGGGTGAGGATCTGTGGAGGGGGACACAGGTGACCCTGGGACTCCCAGCCTCGGCCCCGCTCTGAGCCCCTTCTGTCCATGGGGAGGAGTTATGGAGGACAGTCCCACTGCCCAGGACTGATTCCCCCAGAAACACACAGATGCGGGCTGCCCCTCACCTGGAACACCGTGACGATGGCCCAGAGGAGGGAGTCGAAGTTCTTTCTGTCAGGGACCGTGTCTCCCGTGTCCGTGCGGAGGCTGAACTTGCAGCCAAAGATGTGCATCCCGAGGATGCTGGGAGAGGGCAGAGGGAGCGCAAGGCCTGGCACACGCCCAGCGCTGCCCACCCGCGTTTCCTTCTCTGGGCAGCCCGGGCAGCTGGGCAGGGACAGCACCGGTCCCGCTGTACAGAGCTGACACTGAGGCCCAGGGCAAGGCCAGCCCGAAGCCACCAGGACTGGGCTGTGGTGCCAGGACCTGCGCCCCCCCCCACCCGGGTGGCTCCGTGCTGGCAGGCTGGTCCCCGGGGAAGGCGGGCTCACCTGAAGATGAAGATGAAGAGCATGAGCAGCATGCAGAAGGTGGCCACGTTGTCCATGGTCTTCATGAGCACCACCAGCTGGCGCCGCAGCGCAGGCATGAACCGCACCAGCTTCAGCACCCGCAGCAGCCGGAAGGTGCGCAGCACCGACAGCCCGCCGTCCGCCTGCCCCACGATCTCCCAGATGCTGGGGGGGGCAAG